TTTTTTTAAATTTTTCATTTTCATTTTTATTTATTCCTTCACTTATTTTAATTTGACCAGAGAGAGACATGGAGGGAAAGGGAAAGTGAGAAAAGAAGCCACCAGGTCTGGAACTGGAACCGTGGTCGGATATGTGGGAGTGTCCAGCGCCTTAACCACCATGTAAAGAACTGGTGAATCCTGGTAGGATTGAAAGGTCCTCGTAGAGGGGCAGGTGCCAAATTCAGTTGATTCTGTGGTATCTTAAGTGTATGTATGCACAGTAACCCTGAGATCTGTCCCTGCCCCCAGTGTTTTGATGACTGGGGTGCCCAGATAGCGCGGTGCTGCCCGCATTCCTCCACTGGGAGACCTGTCGGCTGCATTGCCGTCTTCCTAGAGCACTGGCGAGTTGCTCTCACCTGGGCCCTCTTCCACGCCAGGGCTGTGACCTCCGCGGGTCACTCCTGGACCCGCTCTGATCAGTTCCAAGCGTCACGCCCCCAGCTGCAGCCAGCTGTCTTCCCTCCCCACGAACTGGAAGCAGGGAGGAAGAAATCTCTTTGTAGCCCTGGTTCGTCAAGGGGCCTGTGGGAGGAGTGAAGGCAGGGCGGATGGCACTATGTGGAAATGCCTGGGTAGAGTCTCATTTCTCAGCAAACAGGAAGGATGGTGGGGGTGGTTCTAATCTAATCGCAAAGGCAGGCTGTTGGGGAGAAAGCAGGTGCACTTTGGAGGGTCCCAGGCCCCTCGTTGAGAGATGTGAATGCGAGCAGGTAGTGATTGCAGACCTCTTTAGACCCTGTGGACAGAGAACTGAATTTAAATGAAAGTCAGGCGGGGACCCAGTCATCAGCGAGGAACTGAGCCGGCCTCCTGGGCCCCAGGGCAGCACCCATTTCTACGTGTTGGACACTAACTGTGTCCCACACCTCCGAGTGGCATGGAGCCTTCTCTCTCCCCGCCGTGGCCATCAGCTTCGCTGGAAGCTTCCCTCTCCTTCATCTTCTCAGGCTTGCGCACCATCTGCTATGACAGTGTGCTCACCCAGAGGCTCTATTTCCCGGGCACCAGTGTCCAGTCCTCAGTCTGCACAGATGTGTACTGCAAAGCCCTGGGTGCTTTCATAGGGCAGGCTCAGGAGATGTGTATGTTTACTTAAAAGGAACATTTGTGGGCCGGCTCTGGCCTGGAGGTTAAGGCAGCTGGATTCCACATGGCCAACTGTGGTTCAAGTCCCAGACCCAGCACCTTGAGAAACACATGTGTATGTATGCCCAAAATCCTGAAAGGAGGGAGAAATGGAGAAGGGATTGCAGCGTGACCATTCCCCACTGGGGAGCGCTTTCTCCTTCTTTGTGTGCATTCACCTGTCACCAAAAAAAAAAAAAAAAAAGTGACATTTGGAAATAAAGTGTCTTAAAGATGGGTGCGTTTATCTAATCCACACAGTTACCTTATAGGCCAGAAGTGGCCTTGATCTAACTAATTGGTCATCTCTGGGTGACCAATTCTTGGTATAGGGCATGTCCTCCCCCTATTAATCTGAATAGCCCCAGCCTTCCCTAGTATACAGTCCATAATGTGCTTTATAGGATACACACAGAATTAAATACCCCATCTCCTTAATGTACCACCTTGAATTCCGTACCAAATGTGTGGCCTTCTGTAACAGTTCCACCCGAATATCAGGACTGAGGAGGTCACTTCTCTGCAGTGACGCCTCACTGTATGGATCAGCTGTCAGCAAGCTCTGATTTACTCCCTGTGGAGAGCCAGGAAGTAGTTTTGACTTTGTGGGTTGCACCTGCTCTGTTCTAACTACTGAAGTCTGCCTGCTAGAGCAGCTATAGACAACATATAAATGAATTAGACTTGCTGGTTCTAATTCAACTTAATTTACAGACACTGAGATGGGAATTTCATACAATTTTCATGTGTGATGAAATATTCTTTTGATTTTTTCCCCCAACTATTAAAAAATATAAATACTAGGACCAGCAGGTGGCATGGTGGTTAAGGCAGTGGACTCCCACATGGATGACGGCAGTTCAAGTCCCAGACCTGGCCACCTGCTTTTTCACTTTCTTTCTCTCTTGCTTGCTCTGTTTTTCTCTAGTGAGTGCACATGCCCTATAGCAAACTAAGAAATAATAATAAATAAAATTAAATAAAGAATTCTTTAAAAAAATAAAAAGGTCAATACTATTCTTAGCTTGAACTAAAACGGAGTGGGTCTGGATTTGGTCAGCAGATAATGAATTATGCCCTATTATATATGATTTGTAAGTTTGCTTTCTATTAAAAATTTTATAATTATGTACTTGGCTTGAATAGAAATTAAAGTCCCAAGTTAGTTATCAGTACAAGAGTACTTCGAAAAAATTGTGGAGAGGCTGAAGTGGTGCGGAGGAGACAGGAGGGACTCGAGAGCACAGTTGCCACCATGAGTCTCCTCAACAAGCCCGAGTGAGATGACCCCAGAGGAGCTGCAGAAGGGGAGAAGGGGGAATTCCACATGGGGCCACCATCTGTGCCCACGCAGTCAAGAACAGCACCCAAGTACTCCTCGACTGCCGCAACCAGAAACTCCTGGGCCGTGCAAAGGCCCTTGACAGGCGCTGCAACATGGTGCCGGACAACGTGAAGGAGCTGTGGGCTGAGGTCCCCCAGAGTGGCAAGGGCAAGAAGTCCAAGCCAGTCCACAAGGACTGCCACGTCTCCAGGATGCTTCTACCTGGACTCAGTCATCATGGTCCTACAGAGCCCACTCATCCCCCGGCGAATAGAGCTGCTGCCCTTTTACCAGAACTCACTCCCTTGTCCTGCCAAGACTGACCTTTGTGATGGGAATAATAAATGCTGTGTGCTTTTTCAGGGAGACTTTTACTAGAGGATGCATGCACTTGCCAGAGAGACAACGAGACAGAAGGCAAAAAAGTCACACCCCGGGGGGATGGCCACACACGGTCCTTTCTCCTCCATTCTCCTCTCGGGATTTTGGGCACACATGTATATGTGCCTGGTGGGAGTTTTAAGCTGCTGGGTCCAGGACTTGAACCACAGTCGACTATGTGGGAGTCTAGGGACAAAACCATTATACCATTTGTTGGTCCCAAATCCTGTGTGCGTGTGTGTGTGTTTCCCAAGAATAATTTATTTATTTATTTCATTATTATTTTTAAATATAACCAGAGAGAGACAGAGAGAGAGAGAGAGAGAGAGAGAGAGAGAGAAAGGGAGGAAGCAGCCACCGGTCCAGGACTCAAACTGCGGCCGACCATGTGGAAACCCAACGCCTTTAACCACCGTGCCACTTACCAGTCCCAATCCTGTTGTTTTTGTTTTGTTTTGTTTTTTTCCTTTGGGAGGGGGAGGTTCTTTATTTTTTTTGCTATAGAACACATGCACTCGCCAGAAAGACAGAGATGGAGAGACGGAAAGTGAGAAATCAACCCCCAGGGGGGATGGCCACGCCGCAATCCCTTCTCCTCCATTCTCCTCTCGGGATCTTGGGCACGCACGCACACACATCTGGCATGAGTTTCAGTCACTGGGTCCGGGACTCAAACTGCGGTTGAATACATGGTAGTCCAGCAACATAGCCATTATGCCAACTTCTGGTCCCCCAATGCTGTGTTTTTAATAAAGAAAAACTTACGGAAAAATGGAATAAAAGTACAAATTTATTTTGATATAAAATATTTTGAAATCCATGTGTTATTTTTTCTTAATATGCATTTTCATGAAATTTTTGAGGACGCCTCAAATTAATTCCATTGATTAGTCATGTATTTACAAAGTTGAATGATGCATTTAAAAATAATAATAAAAAAAGATATCTTATTCAAATAAACCCTGTCCTTTCCCCTCTGAAAAGAGCTAGCCCATTTCTACGCTGTATTTTTATGTGCTGGCGTGGTGGGCCTTCACCACCAGCAGAGGGGCAGCCAATGGACTCGTGGTAACTGCAGTTTGACCTGTCAGCCCCTCTCCTGTGAGGGAGCAGGGCCTGGGCCCTGTGGAGGGTGCTGACGCTGGGCCTGAGCTCTGAGTCTGTTGTAACCACTGCCTTCAGCCCACAGGGTTGCCTTTCTGGGCCTGAACTATAGTGACCTCCTGCCCCAGGACACCAGACCAGTTCTGCCCTGAACTCAGTCTAGCCTTTCCACAGTCTGGCTCCTAAGGCCAGCCCACCTGTCCCTGAGAAACAGTCAACTCCTTTTTATTTTCTTTTATTTAGTTTTTTTTTTTTTGGCTATAGGGCCCATGTGCTCCCTGGAGAGACAGAGAGAAGACAAGTGAGAAATCACCCCCTGGTGGTACGGCCACACTGTGATCCCTTCTCCATTCTCCACTGTGCATATTTTTCAAGCTGCTGAGTCCAGGACTTGAACTACAGAGTCGGTCATGTAGGATCCAGTGCCTTAATCACCCTGCCACCTGCTGGCCTATACCTTTGTAAGTTTTCAAAGCATCTAGTGACACCCACTTGAAGTTCTTGCTGAGTTCCTCTGAGGTCTCAGTCGCTCTACCAGGTGGTTTTATGTTTCTTTTGTCTTTTAAAAGTTATTTTATTTATTATTATTATTATTATTTTGAAGAATTATTTATCATCATCATTTTTTAATTTGACTGAGGTGGGGTGAGGAGTGTGAAAGCAAGTCACCAGGTCCTGGACTCAAACCACAGTTGGCCATGTGGAAGTTCAGCGCCTTAGCCACTATGCCGCCTGCCAGTCCCTGTGATTATTATTTTTTTAAAAATTTGCTATAGGGCACCTGTGCTCACCAGAGAGAGAGGAAAAGTGAGAAAACAAGCCACCAAGTCTGAGACTTAAACCATGGTAGATGACTGCGTGGGATTCCAGTGCCCCAACCACCACCATGCCACCCACCTGCTAGCCCCTCTATCAGGTGTATTTTAAGAAACGCAGTTCAGAGTCATTTAAAAATGTTGAAACTTTGGGGGGGAAAAGGCCAAAATAAATAAGGCAAAGTGGAGAGAAAAGACTTCACATAGACTTTTTAGAAAGCTTATTATATAATCTTTTATTTCCAGCTTAAAGAGAAAAACTTAAATTATAAGGAATATATTTACAGGATTAATCACATTTCAAGTCAGCAGACTGGATGTGATGGGCCACTCAGTGTCCCTTTGGGACAGCTTGGGACAGATTACGTGGCCTACCGGGGGGCTCCAGCTCATTTGCTAGAGTCAACAAGAGTACCGAGGCTCTCCCCAACACCCCATTTTGCTTAAGTACACATGTGCTTTCCAGAGAGAGAGAAAGAGAAAGAAAAGTGAGAAAGCACCCCGGGGGTATGGCCACACCGCAATCCCTTTCCCTTTATTCTTTTCTTGGCATTTTGGGCATGTACACACACGTGCCTGGTACGTTTTTAAAACCACTGGTTCTGGGACTCAAATTGTACTGCTGGCCATGTGGGATCCAGCTACCTTAACCCACACACCACCAGCTGGCCTGAGGACCCAATCTCTTGACTGGCTGGCTCAACAAACAATGGGAAAAATATCAGCAGTGTGCTGTTGCCATTTTGCTAACAAACAATTCCATGTCTTTTTAGTGTTTATGAGATATCGTAATTTTTCTGGGATATCGTAATCATTCTAGAAACTTGCATGATTTAGAAAATTATTAAAGGAAAAAAATTAAGTTGTCTACCCCATGAGACCACTCTCTCTCATTAGGCACTGGTAGGTCTTTTTAAAACAGGAATCGGAAGTACTGTCTCTGTAAAGTCCAGGTAGGTTTATTAGCAGCTTCTTCAGTTCAATGTCCTCTTCCCCAGGGGCTGGCGGGCTGGGCCAATACTTTGGTTTAAGGTGTTTGGAGAATATCTTCTTGCTCCTTTTCTGGAAGTGAGATAATGGACACAGAGTCCCAGGCGTCATCCTTTGGTGAGCTGTCATTGTCCAAGGCCTCTAAGATGGGCTGGGCTGGGTCTTTTAAATACTTGAAAGGTTGAAAACCAAGATTCTAGTTAGTTTATCGACACAATATACTAGACCTATTACTTGTTTTAGTTGGTGTGGTTATATTTTATTCAGGTATAACTTTATTCTAATACTCGAATCCCCCTTGCTCCCATCTCTGTAGTAACTTGACTACTAATCCAAGGGCCGACCATATTAACACGCTGAAAGCTGTAAAAAGGACACACGGCAGGGAAAGCAGCAAGGAAATTCTTACTCGCTGCCCTCACTGCAGGCAGTTTTAAACCCCTGTAAAACTGTAACTTTGGGGGCCAGCAGGTGGCCTGGTGGTTAAGGCTGGATTCCCACCAGGCTGACCACGGTTTGAGTCCTGGACCATGAGTCTTGAAAATCATGGTAGCTGCGTGTGTATGCCTGCCCCAAACCCCAAGAGGACAATGGAGGAGAAGAGATTGTGGTATGGTCACCTCCCTTGGGGAGTGATTTCTCATTTTTCCTCTCTCTCTCCAGCAAGCACACATGCCTTATGGCAAAATCCTAAAACAAAAAAAAGTGTAACTTTGAGGGTTGGACAGTGGCACAGTGGTAAGATGCAGTGCTCTCTATGAGGCTGACCCACGTGGGAAGGTTCTGGGCTTGTGTCTGGCGACCTCCCTGAGCAAGCTGGACACATGCATGCCCATGACTCAGGGCTGGCTGAGGCTGGTGCTGGGTTGTGGCACTGAGACCTTGTGAGTGTGCTATCTCTCTGTCTTTCCCCCTCTCTCACTCATGAAATAAATCAACTTTAAACAATTGCATCTGAAAGGAGGAAACAAGAGTTTATGTTCAGCTGTAATTGGGAAAAAGACAGAAATTTATACAACACGCAACAAGCAGAGAGGTGTGACGGCCCAAGGCCAGCACAGCCCGGGGGGAGTCAGGAAGAGGAGGTCCCTGATTCAAAAGGAGGCTTTCCAGGGTAGCACTTTCCCTTTTGCTCCTGTTTAGGCTTAGCCGTAAAATCACCAAGTTACCAAGAATTTCAGGCCCGGCCCTTGGAAATGCTGAACGATACTGAACTATAGTGGGCTTAGAGCTGACTGACTAAAAGGAGAACAAACCAGAATCATACACACTTGTGACACCTCAGAGTTATAAGTGAAATGTGAGTCATTTTCCTCATGTAACTTCAGTGAACTTTGGCCAATACCTTTCACACTTTCTCAGAGAAATGAACTGAAAGACTGTTATGTTTTTGATTTACGCCCTGGAAGAATGACTCATAGCATATGCACTCACTAGGACCCAGCTGGTAGTTGTACCATGAGAAAGATACATTCATACGTGTATGTGTGTGTGTGTGTATATATATATATATATCCATACAAACATATATATATATTTTTTTGAGAGATTTTTGCTATAGGGAGCATGCCCTTGCCAGAGAGACAGAGAGACAGAGAGTGAAAAAATCATCTCCTGGGAGATGGCCATGCCACAATCCCTCCTCCTCTTGGAATTTTAGGCATGCATGCACATGCACCTGGCATGAGTTTCAAGCCTCTAGGTCTGGGACTCGAACTGTGGTCGACCATGTGGGAGTCTAGCACCTTGACCACTACACTACCTGCTGGTCCCTTACCTTAATTCATTTGTTTTTTAAAAATAGTTTTGCTATAGAACACGTGCACTCATCTGAGACAGATAGAGACTGAGAGATAGGGAAAGTGAGAAATTACCCTTCGGGAGGGATGGCCACACTGTAATCCTTTCTCTTCCATTCTCCTCTTGAGATTTTGGGCATGTATACACATGTGCCTGGTATGGTTTTCAAGCCACTGGGTCCACCATGGAGTCAGCCATGTGGGATCTAGTGCCTTAACCACCAAGCTACCTGCTGGCATATATATGTATATATGTGTGTGCATGCATGCGTATATATAGTGCCAGAGGCACAGGTGCACACATAAGAGGGACAGAGAGAGAGAAGGCACCCCCAATGGGACCTGGTCATACAACAATCCTTTCTCCTCCGATTCTCCAGCCTGTCAGGATCCTGGGCACGCATGCATGTGGACCTGACATGGGGCTAGGACTTGAACCTTGGTCAGCCAAGTGGGATCTGACTTCCTCTGAGCAGCGCTTGACCCCTGTGCAAGGGAGCCAGTCCCAACTCCCACTGTGGTAAAATGCACGTAACATAAAATTTACCACCCTAAGTACTTTTAAGTGGCAATAAGTACATTCATGCTGTTGTGCGACTGTCATTGCCGCTCATCAACTCTAGACCTCTTTGCATTTTGCAAAAACAAACCCCTATACACGTTACACACTCCCTCCCCAACACCCCTCTTCCCAGGACGTCAGTCACTGTTCCACCTCTGTCTGAATGATTGGACGACTCTAGGAGTCTCATGCAGTGGAATCATATGGCATCTGTCTTTGTGTGCCTGCCATCTCTCACTCACTGTGACCTCTTCAAGGTTCACCCATATAGTAGTGTGTTTCAGAATTGCTGCCCCTTCTCTTTCTTTCATTAAAGAGATAGGAAGGGGGGTACCCTTGACAGGGTCTTGCCACATTGCAATCCTCTCCTTAGCAACCCAGTCAGCCAGGATCATGGGCACACCTGGGATTTCAGGTCAACCCGGGAGCCAACCCAGGCCTTCTATGTGGCTCCAGCGTCATGCACGGGTATCCCATGGCCTGTGCCACCATGGCTAGGCCGTCATTTTCTTCCTTTGTAAGGCTGAATAATGTCCAATTATGTACATACACCACATTTCATCTCCTCATCTATCAATGACACTAGGGTTGCTCCATCATTTTAGCTATTGTGAACAATGCTACTGTTAACATGAGTGTGCAAATAACCTCATACCATCTCTCCTATCCTTCCCCCCGGAAAGCATGTGTGCTCACTGGAGAGAGACAGAATGAGAAGAGTAGAAAGAACCCACCATGGGGAATGGTCATGTCACAATCCCTTCTCCATTTCTCCTTCCTTTGGGGATTTTGGGCACACATGCACCTGTGCCCACACATGTCGAGATGCCAGGTTCAGGACTGGAAGTGTACGTTTGGCCATGTGGGATCCTGATGCCTTAACCACCAGGCTACGGAGCCAGCCTGCCCATACCATTTTAAACTCAAACCTCTGAGGGTGTAGCGGCGGACAGGGAGCACGGAGGCGTCGCTCAGGTCAGTGTGTGCACATACCTCTTCTATCTGTGACGGAATGCTTGGCGGAGAGTGAAACCAGTACTTAACCAGGCCTCTGTATTTCAGGACCAGGAAGAAACAGGCCCCTGTCAGTACCAACAGCAATGAAAAGACTCCCACGGAGATCATGATGTCTTGTTGAAGCTTGGTGGAGGCTGAAGAGATGGCATGAAAGGAAGAAGACGGCCACTAGCACATCGGGTAATACACTGCTTGTGTAGTACTCGCGGCCCTGCGAGACGGCACCTTTCCCCCAGCTCCCACCTCGGATGCCCGCATGCAGAGCTCGAAGCCATCCTGAGACGACAGGGCAGGTGTGGCGGGGCAGGCTTTGCTACCAGAGGCCCCAGCACAGGCTCTGCTCACCCAGCGGAGTGCTCTCTCCCGGCCCCTTCCCTCTCGGCCTCACACCCTGCATCATCACCTCTTGAGCATTCCTGGTTTCACTGTTTTGTTTTGTGTGGTTTTTTTTTTTTTTAATTGTCAGGGAGGGCAGCAGGTGGTACAAAGGTTAAGGTGCTGGACTCCCACATAGCCGACCGCGGTTCGGGTCCTGAACCTGGCTGCTTGCTTTCTAACTTTCCCTCTCTGTTTCTGGTGAGTGCATATGCCTTATAGCAAATTTTAAAAAATAATAAATACAATTAAATAAATGCTTATTTGAAGGAAAAAAATTGGCAGAGGGTACATGCACTTGCCAGAGAGAGAGAGACAGAGAGGGACGAAATGGGAGCAAATACCCCATGGCGGGGTGTGGTCATGCTGGCAATCCCTTCTCCTCCACTTCTCCACCCTGTTGGGATTCGGGGCACACATAAACATGTGCCTGGTGTGTTTTTAAAGCTACCAGGGCTGGGACTTGAACTGTGGTTAGCCATGTGGGATCCGGCTCCCTTGACTACTAAGCCACGGGACCGACCCTAGGAGTATGTTTTTCTCAGCTCAGAAAGAACAAAATGTGAATTTTACCGTCTGCTGTTGTTTCGTAGCAAGATGAGTTGCTTAATTGCCCAGGTCTTATGATGTTTTGTGCCCTCCAGAACAGCCGCGCTTCCACTTGTAAACAGTACACTCGGAACGGTTTTAAATTATCCAACAAAATGGAGTTGCTTCGGAAAGGGCCTTTCACCTATTGGAAAAACACCACCACCACATGTGAATCACCAAACACAGTCGAGCTACTTCTTTCTCATCCTGTGTTTCTTCAAAGTCACAGTGCACACACAGCCAAAGGATACGAGGACGCTGTTTGTAAAGAGTTGCTGGCTGGCTGGGACCAACCTCCCTTGTGAAAGCTGGTCAGCAGCGTGGAAGGAGACTGAGGGCTTCAAGGCTGTGTTTCTGACTGTGAAGTCTTGGCGGCGGGGGGGGGGTGGATCCCATTGCAGCAACTGCAATTTAGCAAATCCTAATATCTAGGGTAAAATTTTCTCCTTTAGAATGAACACTTTGTATGTCCTCGTTACTCTGGTCTAGATACCTCAAGTTAGTCCATAGAAACAGAAAAGAATATTATTCTAGGAAATAATCTTCTTTTAATTCCCCTTGCTTCTAGTTTGAGCTGAACTGTGCTGATTTCTCCTACAGTTTTAATCAAGATGACCTTTGGGACTATGTCATCAGGGGACAGGTGGCCCTCAAATGCTAAGATGACTTTTTTCTCCTCCCTGCCTCCCTGCCCGTGTTCAGGTCCTGTTGCTGCCACGCCTGGACCACTGAGTTAAGGGCTCCTCACTCTTGCCCTGGACCAAGCTGTCATCGTTTCAGGGAAATGAGCAAAAGATACATCATACTATGGCAATATAGGGTTTCTTATTAAGGATTGTCTCTAACTTTGAGATACAACAGACTCCACTAGGGCATACAAGATGTGTATAACAAATGCTCAAACCATGGGAAGGGGATGCTGCTATAATGCTGACCGAAGGACAGATTATTCAAGAATATATGGAACGAAACCTTCTTTTTAAAAAGACAAACAATAATTATTTTCTCAATGAGTAGGAGGATTACGAATGATTCAAAATTATATTTTCTTTTGTTTGATGGGGATGGACTGACAGGGCAGAGGGGAAAAAAAAAAATTGGTCATGATGACAATGTTAAGAATGAAACGTCCCTTCGGGTTTTTCTGGACCTCAGATTACAGGCTGTGCAGAAGCAGCGGCTGAGCAGGCCTGAGACGCTGCTCTGTGAGAGGCCTGCTGTGGGGCTGGCCCCTGGCTGGCATGAGGCACTTGGAGTCTTTCAACTGAGACGTGTGGTCTGCAGTGCCTGGACACCCTGACAGGGGGTGTGGCTTATGCTCAACACCCACTCTCCTTCTAGGAGTCTGACATTTCGGTGTATGCTAGGAAGAAGGGGCCTACATTACCAGCCCCCAGGAAAAGTCCTGGGTGCAAGTGTCCTACAAGCATCCCTGGGGGACATCGTGGCACCTGTGCTGTCCAGCTCATGGCTGGAGGAACAAAGGGCACCCTGTGTGGTTCCACTGGCAGAGAGAGGACAATGGGGAGCCTGCCCCACTCGCTCCGGCCTGGCTCTGGGCTGACCTTGCTCTGAGTCCTTCTGCAGTGAGCAGTCAGGAATAGCCGACCGCGGTTCGGGTCCGGTCCTGAACTGCTTGCTTTCTAACTTTCCCTCTCTGTTTCTGGTGAGTGCATATGCCTTATAGCAAATTTTAAAAAATAATAAATACAATTAAATAAATGCTTATTTGAAGGAAAAAAATTGGCAGAGGGTACATGCACTTGCCAGAGAGAGAGAGACAGAGAGGGACGAAATGGGAGCAAATACCCCATGGCGGGGTGTGGTCATGCTGGCAATCCCTTCTCCTCCACTTCTCCACCCTGTTGGGATTCGGGGCACACATAAACATGTGCCTGGTGTGTTTTTAAAGCTACCAGGGCTGGGACTTGAACTGTGGTTAGCCATGTGGGATCCGGCTCCCTTGACTACTAAGCCACGGGACCGACCCTAGGAGTATGTTTTTCTCAGCTCAGAAAGAACAAAAGGTGAATTTTACCATCTGCTGTTGTTTCGTAGCAAGATGAGTTGCTTAATTGCCCAGGTCTTACGATGTTTTGTGCCCTCCAGAACAGCCGCGCTTCCACTTGTAAACAGTACACTCGGAACGGTTTTAAATTATCCAACAAAATGGAGTTGCTTCGGAAAGGGCCTTTCACCTATTGGAAAAACACCACCACCACATGTGAATCACCAAACACAGTCGAGCTACTTCTTTCTCATCCTGTGTTTCTTCAAAGTCACAGTGCACACACAGCCAAAGGGTACGAGGACGCTGTTTGTAAAGTTGCTGGCTGGCTGGGACCAACCTCCCTTGTGAAAGCTGGTCAGCAGCGTGGAAGGAGACTGAGGGCTTCAAGGCTGTGTTTCTGACTGTGAAGTCTTGGCGGCGGGGGGGGGGTGGATCCCATTGCAGCAACTGCAATTTAGCAAATCCTAATATCTAGGGTAAAATTTTCTCCTTTAGAATGAACACTTTGTATGTCCTCGTTACTCTGGTCTAGATACCTCAAGTTAGTCCATAGAAACAGAAAAGAATATTATTCTAGGAAATAATCTTCTTTTAATTCCCCTTGCTTCTAGTTTGAGCTGAACTGTGCTGATTTCTCCTACAGTTTTAATCAAGATGACCTTTGGGACTATGTCATCAGGGGACAGGTGGCCCTCAAATGCTAAGATGACTTTTTTCTCCTCCCTGCCTCCCTGCCCGTGTTCAGGTCCTGTTGCTGCCACGCCTGGACCACTGAGTTAAGGGCTCCTCACTCTTGCCCTGGACCAAGCTGTCATCGTTTCAGGGAAATGAGCAAAAGATACATCATACTATGGCAATATAGGGTTTCTTATTAAGGATTGTCTCTAACTTTGAGATACAACAGACTCCACTAGGGCATACAAGATGTGTATAACAAATGCTCAAACCATGGGAAGGGGATGCTGCTATAATGCTGACCGAAGGACAGATTATTCAAGAATATATGGAACGAAACCTTCTTTTTAAAAAGACAAACAATAATTATTTTCTCAATGAGTAGGAGGATTACGAATGATTCAAAATTATATTTTCTTTTGTTTGATGGGGATGGACTGACAGGGCAGAGGGGAAAAAAAAAAATTGGTCATGATGACAATGTTAAGAATGAAACGTCCCTTCGGGTTTTTCTGGACCTCAGATTACAGGCTGTGCAGAAGCAGCGGCTGAGCAGGCCTGAGACGCTGCTCTGTGAGAGGCCTGCTGTGGGGCTGGCCCCTGGCTGGCATGAGGCACTTGGAGTCTTTCAACTGAGACGTGTGGTCTGCAGTGCCTGGACACCCTGACAGGGGGTGTGGCTTATGCTCAACACCCACTCTCCTTCTAGGAGTCTGACATTTCGGTGTATGCTAGGAAGAAGGGGCCTACATTACCAGCCCCCAGGAAAAGTCCTGGGTGCAAGTGTCCTACAAGCATCCCTGGGGGACATCGTGGCACCTGTGCTGTCCAGCTCATGGCTGGAGGAACAAAGGGCACCCTGTGTGGTTCCACTGGCAGAGAGAGGACAATGGGGAGCCTGCCCCACTCGCTCCGGCCTGGCTCTGGGCTGACCTTGCTCTGAGTCCTTCTGCAGTGAGCAGTCAGGAGTGCAGCTCTACGCTGGGTCCTGCAAGCCCCTTGAGCAAATCTAGGAGTTGGTCTAGGAAGGCACAGAGAGCATTCAGAGTCATTTTCATCCCAGAATCTTTTGTTCATGGAAGTCCAGAGCCTAGACACTCTGCGAAAGGGGGAAAAGGGAAAGGAGCTGAGGCCTTTATCTGCTCCTCTCCACTGGTTCCAACTTATAACTCAGCTGTTTCATTTCTCCACAAGAGGAAGCTACATCTTAGCGGGGCTAAGCATGGCCCACGTGCTTTGCTAGGGTACACTGCTGAGGGGGGCTGGTCCTGACCTCCTGGGCTGAGGCCTCCAGCACCGGCAACTCTGCCCAGCTCTAGCATTCCAACAGCAAATCCAAAACTTCAAAGAAAAGACAGTCAACACGATGAAGAGGACTGTGCTTGCCTGTTGGGTTCCTGCTCGTTCCCGGTAATGGACATAATATTGTTAAGTCGCCAGGGAGGTATCGACGGCAAAGGGTGGGGAGAACCTGATGATGAGGGAACCTTTTCCTTGGGTCACCCAAATGTTTTCCGGAGGCCCAACAGTCACTGAAATAGAATGACAGACAAAAAGCCGTTACACAGGTACAGATATCACACGCGTGTCGTTATGCACGGGTGCTGAGTGCTGTTACAGCACACACCGCATACTGCTTAGGGGTAATACGTATCGGGTGGCCTGCAATCTGTCAGACAGTGGGTCACTCCTTATCTGCAGTTCCACTTTCTGCAGTCTCAGGTACTCTTGGTCAACCTGTGGCCTGGAAATATTACATGAAAAATTCCAGAAATAGCTTAAGTTCTAAATTGGGTGCTTTTCTGAGGAGAGTGATAAACCTCAGGCTGCCCTAGTCCTAACCATCTGGGACAGGAATCGTTCTTTGGCTCAGCATGTCCACCCCTGTGCGCTGCCTGCCCACTGGTCACTTAGCCGTGCAGTAAGGTAATTTGACAGAGAGAGAGCGAGCGCATATTCACACACATATTGCATATTGCTGTAATTGTTCTATGTTGTTACTCTCTCACTGAGTCTAATTTATAAATGAAATTTTGTCGTAGACACGTCTAAGAAAAAGCAGTATACGTAGGGTTCAGTACTACCCATGGTTTCAGGCACCCACTGGGGATCTTGGAACATATCCAATGGGGTGAAGGGAAATGACCGTAATAAAAATAACCTGAAGAGGGCCCGGAGGTAGCAGAATACTCTGCAGTGCCAGAAGCTGTATGAAGACCAGGGTTTAGTGCCCGGGTCAGCCTACGCACGCTGGCACGTGAGCCTACGTTGCCTGTTTTTTTTTTTTTTAATTGTCAGGGAGGGCAGCAGGTGGTACAAAGGTTAAGGTGCTGGACTCCCACATAGCCGACCGCGGTTCGGGTCCTGAACCTGGCTGCTTGCTTTCTAACTTTCCCTCTCTGTTTCTGGTGAGTGCATATGCCTTATAGCAAATTTTAAAAAATAATAAATACAATTAAATAAATGCTTATTTGAAGGAAAAAAATTGGCAGAGGGTACATGCACTTGCCAGAGAGAGAGAGACAGAGAGGGACGAAATGGGAGCAAATACCCCATGGCGGGGTGTGGTCATGCTGGCAATCCCTTCTCCTCCACTTCTCCACCCTGTTGGGATTCGGGGCACACATAAACATGTGCCTGGTGTGTTTTTAAAGCTACCAGGGCTGGGACTTGAACTGTGGTTAGCCATGTGGGATCCGGCTCCCTTGACTACTAAGCCACGGGACCGACCCTAGGAGTATGTTTTTCTCAGCTCAGAAAGAACAAAAGGTGAATTTTACCATCTGCTGTTGTTTCGTAGCAAGATGAGTTGCTTAATTGCCCAGGTCTTACGATGTTTTGTGCCCTCCAGAACAGCCGCGCTTCCACTTGTAAACAGTACACTCGGAACGGTTTTAAATTATCCAACAAAATGGAGTTGCTTCGGAAAGGGCCTTTCACCTATTGGAAAAACACCACCACCACATGTGAATCACCAAACACAGTCGAGCTACTTCTTTGGTGGATCCCATTGCAGCAACTGCAATTTAGCAAATCCTAATATCTAGGGTAAAATTTTCTCCTTTAGAATGAACACTTTGTATGTCCTCGTTACTCTGGTCTAGATACCTCAAGTTAGTCCATAGAAACAGAAAAGAATATTATTCTAGGAAATAATCTTCTTTTAATTCCCCTTGCTTCTAGTTTGAGCTGAACTGTGCTGATTTCTCCTACAGTTTTAATCAAGATGACCTTTGGGACTATGTCATCAGGGGACAGGTGGCCCTCAAATGCTAAGATGACTTTTTTCTCCTCCCTGCCTCCCTGCCCGTGTTCAGGTCCTGTTGCTGCCACGCCTGGACCACTGAGTTAAGGGCTCCTCACTCTTGCCCTGGACCAAGCTGTCATCGTTTCAGGGAAATGAGCAAAAGATACATCATACTATGGCAATATAGGGTTTCTTATTAAGGATTGTCTCTAACTTTGAGATACAACAGACTCCACTAGGGCATACAAGATGTGTATAACAAATGCTCAAACCATGGGAAGGGGATGCTGCTATAATGCTGACCGAAGGACAGATTATTCAAGAATATATGGAACGAAACCTTCTTTTTAAAAAGACAAACAATAATTATTTTCTCAATGAGTAGGAGGATTACGAATGATTCAAAATTATATTTTCTTTTGTTTGATGGGGATGGACTGACAGGGCAGAGGGGAAAAAAAAAAATTGGTCATGATGACAATGTTAAGAATGAAACGTCCCTTCGGGTTTTTCTGGACCTCAGATTACAGGCTGTGCAGAAGCAGCGGCTGAGCAGGCCTGAGACGCTGCTCTGTGAGAGGCCTGCTGTGGGGCTGGCCCCTGGCTGGCATGAGGCACTTGGAGTCTTTCAACTGAGACGTGTGGTCTGCAGTGCCTGGACACCCTGACAGGGGGTGTGGCTTATGCTCAACACCCACTCTCCTTCTAGGAGTCTGACATTTCGGTGTATGCTAGGAAGAAGGGGCCTACATTACCAGCCCCCAGGAAAAGTCCTGGGTGCAAGTGTCCTACAAGCATCCCTGGGGGACATCGTGGCACCTGTGCTGTCCAGCTCATGGCTGGAGGAACAAAGGGCACCCTGTGTGGTTCCACTGGCAGAGAGAGGACAATGGGGAGCCTGCCCCACTCGCTCCGGCCTGGCTCTGGGCTGACCTTGCTCTGAGTCCTTCTGCAGTGAGCAGTCAGGAGTGCAGCTCTACGCTGGGTCCTGCAAGCCCCTTGAGCAAATCTAGGAGTTGGTCTAGGAAGGCACAGTGAGCATACTGGTGGCTTTTCATCCCAGAATCTTTTGTTCATGGAAGTCCAGAGCCTAGACACTCTGCGAAAGGGGGAAAAGGGAAAGGAGCTGAGGCCTTTATCTGCTCCTCTCCACTGGTTCCAACTTATAACTCAGCTGTTTCATTTCTCCACAAGAGGAAGCTACATCTTAGCGGGGCTAAGCATGGCCCACGTGCTTTGCTAGGGTACACTGCTGAGGGGGGCTGGTCCTGACCTCCTGGGCTGAGGCCTCCAGCACCGGCAACTCTGCCCAGCTCTAGCATTCCAACAGCAAATCCAAAACTTCAAAGAAAAGACAGTCAACACGATGAAGAGGACTGTGCTTGCCTGTTGGGTTCCTGCTCGTTCCCGGTAATGGACATAATATTTGAAAGTCGCCAGGGAGGTATCGACGGCAAAGGGTGGGGAGAACCTGATGATGAGGGAACCTTTTCCTTGGGTCACCCAAATGTTTTCCGGAGGCCCAACAGTCACTGAAATAGAATGACAGACAAAAAGCCGTTACACAGGTACAGATATCACACGCGTGTCGTTATGCACGGGTGCTGAGTGCTGTTACAGCACACACCGCATACTGCTTAGGGGTAATACGTATCGGGTGGCCTGCAATCTGTCAGACAGTGGGTCACTCCTTATCTGCAGTTCCACTTTCTGCAGTCTCAGGTACTCTTGGTCAACCTGTGGCCTGGAAATATTACATGAAAAATTCCAGAAATAGCTTAAGTTCTAAATTGGGTGCTTTTCTGAGGAGAGTGATAAACCTCAGGCTGCCCTAGTCCTAACCATCTGGGACAGGAATCGTTCTTTGGCTCAGCATGTCCACCCCTGTGCGCTGCCTGCCCACTGGTCACTTAGCCGTGCAGTAAGGTAATTTGACAGAGAGAGAGCGAGCGCATATTCACACACATATTGCATATTGCTGTAATTGTTCTATGTTGTTACTCTCTCACTGAGTCTAATTTATAAATGAAATTTTGTCGTAGACACGTCTAAGAAAAAGCAGTATACGTAGGGTTCAGTACTACCCATGGTTTCAGGCACCCACTGGGGATCTTGGAACATATCCAATGGGGTGAAGGGAAATGACCGTAATAAAAATAACCTGAAGAGGGCCCGGAGGTAGCAGAATACTCTGCAGTGCCAGAAGCTGTATGAAGACCAGGGTTTAGTGCCCGGGTCAGCCTACGCACGCTGGCACGTGAGCCTACGTTGCCTGTGACTCTGGCCGCTGGGAAGGCTGGGGAGAACCTCCTGAGGGTGCCTGTCTTTTTCTCTCTCACGTGAAATAAATGAGTAAGATTTTAAAAAGCAACAACCAAACAACTGGAAAAGCAGGGGACAAGGACGGAGTGTATGGGCAGAGAAGAAGCAAAATCGACTGCGTTGATGGCTGTTGGTTAGGTGATGAGGATATGAGCATTTGCTATCGCCTCTCTACTTCCATACGTTTGGAATTAACAAGTTAAAAAGTTAAAAAAAATCAGTGGTTGGGGCCTGCAGGTGATGTGGTGGTTAAGGGCGCTGGACTCCTACATGGGTGACCACAGTTCGAGTCTCGGACCTGGTGGCTTTCTTTCTTTTTTTTTCTTTTTTTTTTAAGAGGTTTTTTGCTATAGGGCACATGCACTCGCCAGACAGACAGAGAGAGACAGAGAGACAGAACACGAGAAATCACCCCCCAGGGGGGGATGGCCATGCCGCAATCCCTTCTCCTCCATTCTCCTCTCAGGATCCTGGGCATGCACGCACACACGCCCCGTGTGAGTTTAAGCCACCAGGTCCGGGACTCGAACTGCAGTCAACTACGTGGGAGTCCAGCGACATAGCCATTACGCTAACTGCTGTTCCCCTGGTGGCTTGCTTTTTTACTCCTCCCCCCTCCTTCTGTCTCTCCCTGATCAAACTGGAAAATGGTAATAATGATAAAGTTAAATTAAAAATGGTTTGTGCCAGGTGAGGTGAGAGATAAAAACAGAGAAGAGGGACCAGCAGATGGCATAATGGTTACGTCGCTGGACTTCCCTGTAGTAGACCGCAGTTTGAGGCCCAGTCCTGGTTGCTTAAAATTCACACTGGGCACATGTGTGTGCATGTCCAAAATCCTGAGAGGAGAATGGAGGAAAAGGGATTACAGCATGGCTAATCTCCCTGGGGGTGATGTCTCGCTTTCTGTCTCTGTGTCTCTCCAGCAAGCACACATGCCCTATAGCAAAATCTCTCTTATAAGAAAAAAGAAAGAAAAAACAAAACCAGAGGAGACAGGGCAGTCACTCCTGGCCAGTTCCCTACTGTGGACAGGCGGGCAGGTTATCTGTCCTTGAGCATGGGGCTAGCACATATTTGAGCCAGCAAGTATCAAAGTATCACCCAAGTGGGATGTAGGAGTTAAGGGGAAAAAAAAAAAAAGTAAAGACAGAACTGGCCCTGCAGCCTAAAGGTTGAGGGAGCCAGATCGCACATGGCAGAGCATGGTTCAAGTCCTGGCGCTGGTGGCTTGAAAAACACACGAGGCACATGTATGTGCATGCCCAATATCTTGCCAGGATGGGAAATGCGGGAGAAGATCACAGCATGACCATGCCCCATAGAAAGTACTTTCTCCCCCTGCTCTTTCTGTCTCTCTGGCAAGTGTATGTACCCTTGGGGGGGGAAAAGTAATGATAGTTACTGTGCAGAAAAAGTAAAGGACAGGACCCGAAAGTCACTGGCCCAGCCTCAGCCTGCTCCCCTGCCTGGCCTGAGCTGAGGAGTGGTGTTGCTGGCGCGTTTCCTGCTGGGCTGTGGGTCCCCGTCACATGTAAAGTTTGAGGCAGCATTGCTTTCAAATCATGCCAGCTGCTTTCACTACTTTGGGGGGAGTTAGAATCTGTAACCAACGTGAAGATGGTTACTAAGTGGAGGCCTGAGAAGGGGCTGGAGGGACTGCAGGCTCTGGCCTTATGCACTCCTGGGCTCTCGCCCCAGCTCTGCCCTCCCCGGCTGTGTTCCTCCAGGCATGTAACGTCAGTTTCCTCCTCTGTGAAATGGAGACAGCCCCGCCCTGCTGTCTGTGTGAACACGCACAGCCCATGCTGCCTGGAAGCTGCCATCGTCCCTGGGTTATCTACTGTTCCATCGAGCCACTCTTTCTCTGGTGCTTTGAGAGAAGGCGGACCGTTTCTCCTGCAGACAAGGCTTATCAGACACCAGCCCTGAGTCACGGGTGGCGCCTGTGCTCCGTCCGGTGTGGGCATGGACACATCTAGAGCTGTGTCCTGGGAGGTGAGGCTCAGGGCAGCATGCTTTTCATGCTCTGCTCACACTGTGGGAAGGGAAACTGGAGAGCGAATGTGCACTCAAAATGTCTGCGAGCAGGTTTACTGAAAGAACTCTGTCACTCGCGGCCCATCTGCCTTCACGGGGCAGGTGGGGCCTGTCTCCGCCCTTAGCCCCTTACCAGACAGATGAGCTCAGAGGGCACAGGTGCGTGGTCTGTGGGAAGCAGTTCTACACAGACTACATGCCTAACCCTCACCAACCTGAAGCGCCCAGGGGTGAGGGTGGAAGTGGAAGAGCAACCCAGCCCCACTACTGCGAGCACGTAATGGCTCACGGCAACAGGACAGTCTCCTTGTGGCAAATGTGCAGAGACAGGTCTCTCAGAGCTCAGAGGCCAATCCTGTACTTTGGCTGCCATCCTCTGGGTAATCACACAGTGCACGTGCTCCCGTCATAAACGCTGCACCCTTCCATTTACAGCGTATCATTGGGCACTGCCCTTGGCTGCCCCGTGAATTATGTGAAAGCCTTAACAAATAGACTCACCATGGCAACATTACTCGGTTATGTTCGACCATGGCACGAGTCTGCCGTATATGCAGGGGACGGATTCCGAGACCTCCAGGGATGCCCTGAACCACTGGCAGTACCAGACCTGCACTGTTTTTTCCTATGCATACCTATCATAAAGTTTAATGTATAAGTTAGGCACAGCAAGAGAGTCACAACAGTAACTAATAAAATAGAACTGTTATACCATGTACTGTAACGGAAGTTACGTGAATCCAGTTTCTCAACATATTCAACTGTGTGGCATGTGGGTAACTTAAACAGTGGAGGGTGAAACCCAGGGTGTATGTGGGGTGCACTATTATTTTGAATAAATGTCAGACATCACATTGTCTCATCTGCAAATATTTCAATACGGACCTCTAAAATACAGGACTCTAGTTTGTTTCCCAATTAAAAAAAAAAAATAATGATGTTAACATTGAGTTTAGGTCAGTCCCTTTCTAATCACTTTGTAATATTAGTGTATTCAACATTTACGACGACTGGGTCAGGCAGGTACTATTACTATTCATAGGTGGACCAGCTGAGGCTCAGGAGATTGCATAACAGAGCCAGGATTTGAGCACACATGTTCTGCTTCTGGAATCCATGTCCTCAACCTGTGTGCTATGAACTTGGTTCCTAACTTATTTTAAAAATTATTTTATTTAATATTTATTTATTTATTTATTTTGAGTTTGACTAGAGAGGGACAGAGTGAGAGAGGGGGAGGGAGAGAGGGAAAGTGAGAAAGCAAGCTGCCAGGTCTGGGACTCAAACTGCGGTCAGCCATGTGGGAGTCCAGCACTCTAAACCACCACGCCACCTGCTGGCCCCGTTTCCAATTTTTTTATCATGGTAAAATACACATAACATTTACCATCATTCCCTTATCATAACCAAAATACCACTTTAACACCTTAAATAAGTGACTAATTTATTCCTACTTATTAAGTAATATTCACAATAATTGCTCAACATATCATCAAACACCTAGTCAGCGATTATATTTCTTCAATTCTCTTATACTTTCAGGTACTAATAGTTTGTTTAATCAGGATCCAAAGAAGCTTGTGTGTGCACAAACCATAGATACTGAGGAAACATTTGGCACAGCTGACCAGTAGAAATGAATGTCAAAGTAACAAACATAGAAACTATTATCTGAGGTTCCTCCCATTTCCTCTGGTACTGTAGACACGTTTGGTAATTCAGTCATTCAACAAATATTTACTGAACAGCTACTACATGTGAGGTGCTGCTCCAGGTTGAATGAATCTCTTTCACCATAAAAGCTGCTGCACCAGAACCGTAAGTTAGGCGGGCACTGAAGTGGATCTGCAGAATCCCATTTAGCACTGAGGTTGGCAACCTTGTTCAGTAAAATGCCAATGTAAATTTAGCCTTTGCAGGCCAGACAGTCTCTGTGCAACTCCAGAACCTGGCCATGGCAGCATGAATGTAGTCACAGACGCTGCACTGAAAGATGGACTGAACCGTGTTCCAATAAAGCTTGGTCCAATCCTGAGCCTGGCGAATCACATTGCCCTAGCATCAGCCTCTGCAGTCAGTGCTTCGGTCTGACCATCCTTCCTACTCCCCTGCTGGTTTTTTAGGGCGAGGGGAAGGACACAGGTGCATGGAGTCCATGTTGCTCATTGAAGAGGCAGGTGAGGGGAACCAGCAGTTAGCGTAATGGCTAAGTCGCTGGACTCCCATGTAGTCGACCGCGGTTCTCATCCCGGACCCGGTGGCTTAAAACTCACGCCGGGTGCCTGTGCGTGCATGCCCAGGATCCCAAGAGGAGAATGGAGGAGAAGGGATTGCGGTGTGACCAACCCCCCTGGGGGATGATTTCTCGCTTTCTGTCTCTCTGTTTCTCTCTGTCTGGCTGGCGAGCACACGCGCCCTATAGCGAAAACCTTTCCAAAAAAAAAAAAAATAAGAGGCAGGTGAAGGATACCTGGCAAGTCTAAATGAAGATGTGGGCTGTCCCCATGGCCTAGTGGTTAAAGGAGCTGGATCCCACACACCTGACTGTGTGTTTCAAACCCTGGCCCTGGGGGCTTGAAAAATATGCCAGCTGTGTGTGTGTGTGTGTGTGTGTGTGTGTGTGTACCCCAAATCCTGACAGGATGGAGAGATGAGGGAGAAGCAATGTAGTGACACCACATCCTACTGGGAGTGCTTTCTCCATCTCCCTCCTCTAGCAAAAAAAAAAAAAAAAGTATAAGGAAAAATTTATGCCCGAATTTGCTTACCGTTCCGATAGTGTTGAAACCAAGGCACTGTCGCCCAGGCAGAAACCAGCTCTTCTCCCAGCTCAGCTCGTACGCGTAAGTAGACATTAAAATGCATCGGGAAGCCCTTTGAGGGGCTGGCTGCGGTGAAGTCGCACTCCGTTGCTGTGACCTGTGTACAGTTCACTCCTATGGACTCGATGCTGACGTCACTCCATTCACTACTGGTGCTGAGAGGGAAAACAGGATTTCAGTTTACAGGCTTCTCTCATTTTTATGCATAAACTTCCCCAGAGTTGAATTTTCTTTTTTTTGAAAGAGATTTTTGCTATAGGGTGTGTACCCTCGCTAGAGAGATAGAGACAAAAAGAGAGAAATCTCCCCCTCAGTGGGGATGGCCACACCACAATCCCTTCTCCTCTATTCTCCTCTAGGGATTTTGGTCATGCACACACATGTGCCTGGCGTGAGATTTAAGCTGCCAGGTTCGGGACTTGAACCATGATTGACTATGTGGGAGTCCAGTGATGTAACCATTACACTATGTGCTAGCTCCCCCCAGAGCTGATTTTTAAAAACAATTAAATTAATAGGGGCTGGCAAATGTCATGGTGGTTAAGGATGCTGGACTCCCACATGGCTTACTGCAGTTCGAGTCCCAGAACTAGCAGCTTGCTTTCTCACTTTCCCTTTTACTCTCTCTGGTCAAATTAATAATAATAGGGATCAGCATAATGGCTATGTTGCTGAACTCCCATGTAGTCAACTGTGGTTCGAGTCCCGGACCAGGTGGCTTAAACTCACGCCAGGAGCATGTGCGTGTGTGCCCAAGATTCTGAGAGGAGAATGGAGGGGAAGGGATTGTGGCGTGACCAACCCCCTGGGGAATGACTTCTCACTTTCTGTCTCTCTGTATCACTCTGTCTTTCTGGTGAATGCACATGCCCTAAGGCAAAAACCTCTCAGAAAAAAATTAATAATAATAATAATAATAAAAATAAAAATAAGTAATTATTTAAAAATTATTTGTCTATTTTGTTTTATTTATTATTATTTTAAAATTTGCTATAGGGCACTCACCAGAGACAGAGAGAGAGAGAGAGAGAGAGAGAGGAAAGTGAAAAAGCAAGCCTTTAGATTCAAGACTTGTAACTGCAGTAGATCATGTGAGAGTCCAGGACCTCAATCACCATGCCACCTGCTGGCCCCCAGAGCTGATCAAAAAAAAAAAAAAAACAACACAACAACAAAAAAAACTTTATTACGATGCAATTCATGGAGGACTACAAGTTAGCGTAATGGCTATGGGACTCCCATGTAGTTGACCATGGTTTGCGTCCTGGACCCGGTGGCTTAAACTCACGCTGGGTGCGTGTGTGTACGTGCCCAAGATCCCGAGAGGAGAATGGAGGAGAAGGGATTGCGGTGTCGCCATCCCCCCTAGGGGGTGATTTCTCACTTTCTGTTTCTCTGTCTCCCTCTGTCTGTCTGGCGAGCTCACGAGCCCTATAGCAAAAAGAAACCTCTCCAAAAAAAGGAAATGGGAAAAAAAAAAAAAAAAGATGCAATTCACATATCATATAGTTTACCCATCTTTTTAAAAAAAATTTTTTTTTTAAGGTTTTGCCATATGACACGAGCACTTGCTAGAAAGAGACTGAGAGAGAGAATGTGAGAAATCACCTCACAGGGGATGACCACACTGCAATCCCTTCTCCAGTCTCCTTTTGGAATTTTGGGTATGCACATGCACACGCCCAGCGTGATTTTCCAGTTTCCGTGTCAGGGACTCAAACTGCTCAGTCAGTAATATGAGTGAGATCCAGCTGCTGTAACCACCATGCCACCAGCTGGCCCAAGACAGTACTTTTTTTTTTTTGTTTTTCAAAGATTTATTTTGTTTATGATAGAGCATGCACATGAGAGAGAAAGCAAGAGAGACAAGCACTCTAGACAGGGCCTTGTCATGCCACGATCCCCCACCCCTGGCCCTCTAAGTGATCAGAATCTTGGGCACCCGTGCATGTTCCTGGCATGTTTTCAGCTGACCCAGGGATCCTAACCTGCAGTTGGCCATGTGGCTTCGGCACTGCAGTTCAGTTTGCTACCTATTGCACCACCAGGCTGAAAATAAGAGTTCTTCATATATTCTGAGCACAAGTCTCTTATCAGGTAACAATTTGCAAATATTTTTCCCCTTTCTATCCTACAATTAATATTAATACTTCAAACTCAGTCTCTGTAACTTAAGTGTTAGGAGTGATACTGGTTAACACAAACTCCATACTTTTTCCTGCTAGGGTGTTTTGTTTTCACACCACGGCTGCTCGTTTAAAAGGGACCTGCCTTGCTCATGAAAACCCTGCCAAATATAGTCACCCCTCAGTACCTGTGGGCTTTATGTCCAGGACCATCCCCCCACCTCCACTCCCGCCATGGATGTCTGTCTCTATTGGCCCACAGTTGCTTTCCTAAAGGGGACATCCTTGGGAAAACAAAAACCAATGTTGCTTGGGGCCAGCAGGTGACATAGTAGTTAAGGTGCTGGACTCCCATGTGGTTGACCACAGTTCGAGTCCCAGATCTGGTGGCTTAAAATTCATACCAGGTGCATGTGCATGTGTGGCCAAGGTCTGGGAGAATGGAGGAGAAGGGGTTGTGGTGTGGCCATGCCCCCAGGGAGTGGTTTGTTTTCTGTCTCTCTGTCTCTCCAGTGAGCGCACATACTCTATAGCAAAAAAATATAAATAAAAACAAAAAACAACTCTCTTTTAAAAAAAAGCAAAATCTGAGGATGCTTAAATCCTTCACATAAAATGGCATAGAATTTGCATATAGCCCATGCATAGCCTCCCGCATGCTTTAACTCATCTCTAGGCTCCTTATAGCACTGAACCCAATGCATATGCTGGGTGAGCAGCTTACATGGTGCTGTTGAGGGATGCTGACGAGAAACAAAAGCCGCGCATGTTCAGTATGGACACACCACCGCAGGCGTGACTGCACGGTGCACGTCAGCAGTTACCGGGCATTTCTATCCATGGTTGGCTCAATTCACAGATGTGGAATCCACAGATACAGAGGGCTGACTGTACGTGGCCACACAGCCTGACAATGCCTTCCCCAGAGTCCCAGTGCCACACCCCCATGTGGGACTCTAGACCCCAGCTCTGACCTCTGCTCTTGATTTAGGTGACAGACTTCAGAAAAGTGACGGAGGTGGCTGCTGGAAGCCTAAGTGAGGGGAGTGGGAGTGTCCCCTCCAGGACAGCAACTTTGGCCTAGAAAGCAAGGCCGGGGGAAGCAAAGGAAACAGGCTAGGCGTCTGTAGCTACCTGCTTTCACACACGTGCTCCTAAGTGCACTTCCCACCCTGACTGAGATGTATCTTATTCAAAATGGCAAAGGACAAGGATGGCCTTGTGGCCTAATGGTTGAGGGGGGCAGCTGTTTGTGGGTCGGATCCCACATGGCCAACCGCGGTTTGAATCCTGGCCCTGACGGCCTGAAGAACACACTGAGCATATGTGTGTGTGTGCCGGAAGTCCTGATAGGATGGAGAGACAGAGAGAAGGGACTGTGATGTGACCATACACTGTTGGAGGGTGTTTGCTCCCCCTACCCACCCCCCCGGTCTCTCCTGGTGCGTGCATGCACCCTCTGGCAATTGAAAAAAGAGGGAGAGGAGAAGTGTGAGTGACAAGATGCGTGGCCAGGGCTTCTCTGGAAACCTGGCCTGCCATTTCTGCATGCTGCCCACCCGAGGATCACAGCTCCAAATGGAGAGATGGACCAAACCACAGGTACCTCCTTTCAGACTGGGGGGGGGGGAGCTGTGCCCCAGAAAGGCTGAACAACTTCTTTTATAAGAATTACTGAGATCTAAAGATCCTCTCCCCTCCTATCCACCAGCCCAGCTGTTGAACGAGGGTAAATGACTCTCGGATTTCCAGGGCTCACTCCCTGACTCACCGGAGAACGAACCACTCATGTTCTGCCACTCCCCCATCTGCCAACCTTGCCACTTTCTCAGAATTACTTTCCAAAAATGCTTCTCAGAAAGAGGTTTACAGGGGACTGTGCCATCCCATGTAAGTGACAGCAGACAGGTGAAAGCCAGCTGTTTGTGGGGAAGGCATGGTGGGAAAGGAAGCTGTCTCCTTGCAGGAGATGTGAATAATGAAATGAAGGCAGCCTCAAGAACGCAGCACCACCCCTTCAGCCACCCTTCCCTGCCCTGCTGGATCAGCCAGTCTGCGCTTTATCCCCTCAGAAAGCCACCCAGACTTCTCGCAATGAACCGCTGTGGTCTGCCTCTGTCCCAGAGTTCACCCAGCTTTTAAAACAACCCTTATCGTGAAGAGGAGGGTGGCATAGTGGTTCAATGCCTGGACTCTGGAGCAAGGCTACCTGTGTTCAAAACCCAGCCCTTATAACTACTCTGATCCTCAGTTTTCGTTCTACAAAATAGGAGTCCACTCTTAGATGTGCTCCCTGAAGTCCTGGGGAAGGGTGAGTGAGTGACATCAGGAAAGCACTGGGCCAGTGTCTGATGCCCAGGGACACCAGGTAAGCATTTGTTAAACACACAAACCGTATCTCCACCTTTCAGGGTAGTCTCTTTGAGTTAGTACAGAGGAACTCCACAACTGCCCACATAGAACCACTCACCCCCACCAAAAGCTCCTGTTCTTGGGCCAGCATGTGGCATGGTAGTTAAAGCACTGGGCTCCTACATGGCAAACCATAGTTTGAGTCCCAGACCTGGTGGCTTGAAAATCAGGCCGGGTGCATATGTGTGTGTGTGCCCAAAATCGCAAGAGGAGAATGAAGGAGAAGGGATCGTGGTGTGGCCACCTTCCGGGGGTGATTTCTCATTTTCCCTCTCACCATCTTTCCTCTTCAGAGAGTGCACATACCCTATGACAAAAACCTTAAAAAAAGAAAAAAAAGTTGCAGTCCTTTTGTCTGCCCTGCTTTTGTCTGTGGGACTGAGAACCAGAAGTGTCTGTGGAAGTCTTCTTTCTGCGAGGAGACTCAGCTCAGGGTGATGCAAAGGCTCATGTGTATATTCAACTCAAGTCCCTGTGCGCCAAGGCTCTGCTGGGTCTCACAGTCAAAGTGCCCGAGGGCTTGTGTGAAGAAGTGGAGGGGCTTCTCAGTGACACCCTAAGCCCTCCTCTGAGGCAGGTGGCATGGAGGTTAAGGAGCTAGATTCTCACATGGGCCACTGCAGTTTGAGTCTTGGACCCAGTGGCTTTTAAAACAAGCGTGCACGCATGTCCAAAATTCTGAGAGGGGAATAGAGAAGGGATTGCAGTGTGGCCGTTCCCCCTGGGGAGTGACTTCTCCCTTTCCCTCTCTGTGTCTCTCTCTGGCAAGCATACATGCCCTATAGCAAAAAAGCTTTAAAAAAAAAAAAAGGCTATATTAGGACCAGCTCCATGGTGCAATAGTAGAGCTCAGCTTAGTAGAAGCTGGATCCCCTGGATCCCATGCTGAGACTACAGTTTGAATCCCTGGTCTGGCCAATCTGAAACACACAGGGCATGTGTTTGGTTGCCTGGGATTTGAAAGGCTGGAGAAGGGGATCATGGCATGACCAGAACTTATGGAGAGTGTTCCTCTCTCTCTTTCTCTCACATGTGCACACATGTGCTCTGTTGTGAAAAAAGACATTTTTTTTTGAGAGATTTTTGCTATAGGGCGCGTGTGCTCGCCAGACAAACAGAGAGAGACATAGAGACAGAAAGCGAGAAATCACCCTCCAGGGGGGATGGTCACGCCGCAATCCCTTCTCCTCCATTCTCCTCTCGGGATCTTGGGCACGCACGCACATGCGCCTGGCATGAGTTTTAAGCCACCGGGTCCAGGACGCGAACCGTGGTCGACTACGTGGGAGTCCAGCGACATAGCCATTACGCTAACTGCTGGTTCCCCAAAAAAGACATTTTTAAAAAAGGGCTATGCTAATTAATCCTGCAATAAACTAATTGTGCAACCAGTAGCGTGTGAACATACATCCATCAACCGATATTTGTTTATTTAGTAATATAAAGTGACTTAGCCAATAATTTTTACCTTAATCTTCAATTAACTTACTTTATTTATTTAATTTTATTATTATTTTTAATTTTATTCATTGTCATTATTTTTATTTATTTATTTTTTCTGAAGCTGACAAGAGAGAGAGAAGGAAAGTGAGAAAGCAAGCCACCAGGTCCAGGATTTGAACCATGGCCAGCCATGTGGGAGTCCAGCTACTTTAACCACCATGTTACCTGTTGGCCCTAATTAACTTTATCTTAAAAGATCAACAACTAATAACCAAGGACTTGGGTTTTACCTGTCTTCTTTCTATATGTGTTCATATTGTAAACTGAGTGAAGGCAAACTATGAAAAAGCTTGAAAAGGACGTGAGAAATAAAATGAGAGACCAGAATAATAGATTATTTTAAATGGAAAAACAGGTAAGACACTAAGAATTCCTTGTAACTAACTGAATACATTCCTGATCAGGTAAAATATGACCTGTGAGTTGAACAAATCCGATTTTTAAACCTGAAGAACATGAATATCGGGAACCAGCAGTTAGCATAATGGCTATGTCGCTGGACTCCCACATAGTCGACCGCGGTTCGCGTCCCGGACCCGGTGGCTTAAAACTCACGCCGGGTGCGTGTGCGTGCGTGCCCAAGATCCCGAGAGGAGAATGGAGGAGAAGGGATTGCGGCGTGACCATCCCCCCTGGGGGGTGATTTCTCGCTTTCTGTCTCTATGTCTCTCTCTGTCTGGCGAGCGCACGCGCCCTACAGCGAAAATCTCTCAAAAAAAAAAAAAAAAAAAAAGAACATGAATATTAAAAGCAGCCTCTTATCCTTCCAAGACCAGAAACCCTTTTTTATAACCCTCCTCTGAAACCAGTGTAAAAATAAACTTCCACCCAAGCAAGAAGCCGTGTGGTTAGACAGCAGAACTTTAGACAGCTGGAATTGTTTAAGTCTTCAGTTGAGTGGGAGGTTGTGAAATCTCTGCCTTTGGAGGTTTTAAAAGTACGGTACCAGAGAAGAATCTGCTGCCCACGGGTTCCGGCTAAGAGGCAGTGCCTCGCAGTTGGCTTGAAGCTTCTGTACAATTTCTCCCACAAATCCCAGCAAAGACACCGACAGAAACCCCTGGCTTACTATTTAAACTGCACCCGGTAGGCCACTGGCCGTGTGCCGTTGCTTGGGGACACGGAGTCCCAGCTCAGAATCTGCTCGCTGTTATACAGGTGCATCTTCGGGTTGCCAGGAGCCGGCAGCTGGGAAAGAGAGTCTTGAAAGAGAGAATGAGAAGAGAAACAGAGGACCGGGGGCGGGGGGGGGGGCAAAGGAGAAAAATCAGTTAGGAACATATAAAAGTGCACATTTCCGAAGTCATTCATCTAACTCAGCTTTTGTCAAAGTGCAGAAAAAGCACTACATGTTCTCACGGTACACGTTCCCCATCCCACGTTTGACTATAAGGACGGCACTATTGACGCAGACAGGGGGAAAAGTGAGGTTCTGGCTTGCCCCTCCAGCTGCAGGTTCCAGTCATTATGAACAGGTCCTGGCACCCCAGTCGGGCTGGGCTAGCATCCCAGTTACACCGCTGTAAGTGGGTGTGACTCTGAGCAGGTTCCTTAATTGGTCTGAGCCTCAGTTTCTTCTTCAGGCTCGAGGGATCAGTAACAGCACACCCCGTAGGAATGCGGTGAAGCTTCAGTTGGTGAGTGTGTGCCACGCGGAAGCCCCGGGTTGGGTACCAGCAGAGTGTTCGCTAAACCTCCACGGACACACACATGCACATGTGCACATGCACACAGACACCTCAGATCACATATGCAAAGCCCAGAGGCACATGGGAGGCGAGGAAAGCTGTCCTCTGGGCTTCATCAGAGTGGCTGTGTCTCTCCAGGACTGCCCCAGTGCTGTGCTCACTGGTGTACTAGTTAAAATGCAGATCCCCGGGCCCCAGCCCAGCATGCACTCTCTGGAGAGACAGAGAGCAAAAGAGACAGAAACAAGAAATCACACTCCCCCCCCCTCGGGGGATGGCCATACCACAATCCCTTCTTCGCCTCCGTTTTCCTCTCAGGATTTTGGGCACACACGCACATGTGCTTGGCGTGAGTTTTAAGCTGCCAGGACTGACTTTCGACCTGTGGTCGACTACGTGAGAGTCCAGTGACATAATCACTAAGTCATCTGCTAGTCCCCAAATCTGCATTTTTAATGAGCTTTCCAACTGAATCTTAGGCACAATAGAGTTGGAGAATTATAAGCAGTGAAATAACGTATCCCCAGGCAATCCCACCAATCCCGAATCTGCTTCTTTGGGGTGACCTGGGTCTTAACCACCGCAAGCAGATATTTTACACGACGAGCTAGAGACTGAAAGCATCAGAGGCCTTTTTCTAGAGAGTAAACATCATAATGATAACGCTTTCTTTGAATGGAAGATTCATTCCTGAGACCTGCCAGAAGGTGGAAAGAAAAGCTTGAATAACACGGTGTCCCGGAATTCAAAGCAGGAAGTCCAAACCACACATGTTCAGTAAATGCATCTATCCTTGAACAGTGTCCCAGGCACACCCAGTCGGCCTGCTGGCTTTCTGCAAGATGCCTTGCCAAGTGCCTGCGGCCACAGAAAGGAGATCGTCTCCATGGATTCGTGAGTTCGGCTGACCTCATTCCCATCTTTATTCGACCAGTTGACCACCACTCCTGAGTACTAACAGGCCTCGTGATGACCTGGCCATTGGCAGACAGGCCCACCTGGCACAAGGTGACTCACACAGACTGTGCAAAGGAGCTGAGACCAAAGGCCCTTCTAAGGAGGGCTCACAGCGCCCCATGGGGTGAGTGCTTGCTTAGGGTGGGCACCCATCCTAGCATCCCGAACACCTCCTTCTGGGTTTAGGTCCCTCTGGCTGCTCAAACACACTGCCACAAACTCAATGGCTTGGAACAACTCAGACCTATTGTCTTACAGCTCTGGAGGTCAGAGTTTGAAACAGGGCTCACCGCCAGAATGTCACATCGACAGGGCTTTGTCCCTTCCGGGTGCTCCGGGTACTCCGTTCCCTTCTTCTCCAGCCCAGGAGGCCGTCCACTCCTTGGCCCATGGCCCCTTTCTCCAGCACCACTGAGCCGAGTCCTTGTGCTGCTCTCTCTCTGGTGCTGGCCTTTCTGCCTCCTTCTCTCGCAAGGACCCTTGTGATTACACTGGGTCCACGTGGCCCACCCACCCAGGAGCACCTGCCTTCCCAGGATCCTCATCCATAACAGCAAAGTTCCTTTTGTCATGACAGGTAACAGATTTTCAGATTCCGGGGATAGGATGCGGACACCTCTGGGGACCAATATTCTGCCTACTAGTGCCCCCTCACCGTCTTCCATCCCTGGGGAGGAACCAGCAGGCATATTTTCCAAGGACCCAGCAGAAATATTTTCCCCCTCCTGCCGTCCCCCTCCTACCACCCCCATTTCTCCAGTCTGAAGAGTCAACCAAGAAAGGAAGGTCAAGGAGCCCAGGGGTGATAAGGAAGGGCTTCTACTCCAACCCATGTGCGGAACAGCAAAAAGACACCTCTGGAAAGTCCCAGATCAGCCGTCTACATTCCATGTTCATTTTACCGAGGTGAGAGAGAAGTCCCACCTAATACAGTCGTATGCAGTACCCCTTGTCAGACACAGCTGGGACCAGAAGTGTTTCAGACTTCAGAATTTTTTGGATTCTGCAATACTTACATTAACATAATGAGATATCTTGGGAATTGGACCTAAGTCTAAACATGAAATTCATTTGTTTCATATATACACAGCTTGAAGGTAATTTTAAAAAATTATTGTGGGGGGCCAGCAAATGGTGTGATGGTTAAGGTGCTAGACTCCTGCAGGGCAGATCACAGTTTGAGTCTCAGAACGGGCAGCTTGCTTTCTCACTTTCTTTCTTTCTCTCTCTGGTGAGTGCATGGGTCCTATAGAAAAATTTAAAAAATAATAATATTAAAAAAATTAAATTTAAAAATTCTTTTAAAAAATTATTGTGTGTGCTCACCAGAGAGAGACAGAGAGAGGAAGGGAAGGAGAAAGCTCCCCTCAATGGGGCGTGGTCACACCGCTGAGGTCTGGGGCAGGCTGGAGAAATGGAGGGGATGATGTGGGATCCAGCTCCCTTAACCCCTGGGTGGCAGGGCCAGCTTGCACCTGCAGCTAACTTTATACGACGTTTCTATTTTGTAGTGTTTTGACTGTGACCCATCACATGAGATCAGAGGTGAAATCTTCCACCTGTGGCATTATGCTGATGCTAAAAACATTTCAGATACTGGAGTGTTTCGGATTTTAGGCTTTTGGCTTAGAGGCTTTCTCAGCTTCTGAGTTTCCTGTAATGCCCTAGCTTACCATGTTTACAGAAGAATACACGGCTCAGAACTGCACAAGTAGTTGGAGTATGAGCTAAAATTTTTTGCTATGTAAAGTAAATGTTTGTGGAAAAATGTAAAAATAAATAAATGAAAGAAAAAAAAATAAAAAAATAAAAAAGAACTGCACAAGGACCTAACCAAGATTACCCATTAGTTAAAAAGTGCCTTATAGGGGGCCACCAGGGGGCGTGGAGGTTAGGGGCGCTGGACTTCCACATGGCTGACTGCGGTTCGGGTCCTCACTTTTTCTCTCTCTCACTTTGTCCCCCCTCTGGTCAAATTAAAAAGATATATGAATAAATAAACAAAGTTAGAATTAAAAAAATGATAAGTGGTCATCACAAATAATTTTTTTTAAAGTGCCTTATAAAACTACCATCTTCACATCTCAGAAGGGCCCCATCCTCTTCATTCCAGCCCAGGAGGCCCCCACGTTGTTCCTGGGAAAGACCCACAGGGGACCTTGCCATGCTGGTCTCTCTCCTTAGTGCCCTCCCTTACTCTATGCCATGTCTCACACGGGTGTCCCATAGCAGGCTGATCTGGGTAAAATGCGCAGAGCACTGGGCGAATGACAAATGGCCCCCCAGAAGCCTGTCTCCTGCACTCTGCACTCCTGGCTCCTCTGTTTCCCCCACAGCAGTTCAAAGCGATCTGAGATCTGTGCCTCAGTTTTCTCATCTGTCACATGGGAACGGAAGTGCTTGCTCCGAGGGCTGAGGAAGATGATTTTCTGTGCAGTCCGGCGCACTGTGAGCACATGACCGCTGCCTTCCCACTGCCCGCAGCTTACCAACAGTCTCTCCTGGAGCTCTAGAGCAGGGAGTTCCAGAAAGTCGGTGTGCTGTTGGATTTGGGCGCTGTTCCAATCCCAGGGCTGGGAAGAGCAGGCACTCAAGATTTGGTGAATGAGGTCTGGCCCCATAGCCTCGTGGTTAGGGAGCTGGATCCAACATGGCTGATGGCAGTTCTGATACTGGCTTCAGCAGCTTGAAAAACATGCTGGGCAAATGTGTGTGTGTGTGTGCCCCAAATCCCCACAGGATGGAGAAATGGAGGAGAAGGGATTGTGGCATGACCAGGCCCACTGGAGGGTGCTTTCTCTCTCTCTCTCTTCCCGTCTCTCTCTGGTGAGAACACGCACCTTCTGACAATTAAAAATAAAAAAGACTTGGGGACCAGCAGTTGGTGTAATGGCTATGTTGCTGAACTCCCATGTAGTCGACCGCGGTTTGAGCCCTGGACACGGAGGCTTAAATTCACGCTGGGAGTGTGTGCGTGCATGCCCAAGATCCAGAGAGGAGAATGGAGATGAGGGGATTGCGGCGTGGCCATCCCCCCTGGGGGGTGATTTCTCGCTTCCTGTCTCTCTGTCTCTGTCTTTCTGGTGAGCACACGCGCCCTATAGCAAAAATAAATAAATAAAGAAATAAATAAAATAAAAATGAAAAAGACTGGTGGATGAATGGACTGCTCTACTTTAAAGGTTAGGTACCCTGTGTCTCGTGTCCTTAGCATTGCACTCATCCACTCAGAAACCACGTTTTCCTTCCTTGCTTTATGCTAAAGCGCCTCCTTTTCTTTGTTCTCAGATGGGGCAGAGGCCAAGTGGACAATTTGGGACCATGGACTTATCTGGATGTCTCTGCAGAGTCAATGTATTCAGGGTCTACCGTCGACAGTGGCAACAAAGCTTGGTGGGAGAATAGAACTGACAGACAAGAGACCTTGGCTGGAATCCTGATACTACGCTGTTACCAGTACCTTCTTTTTGAGAGAGAGATTTTTGCTATAGGGTCCGTGCACTCAACAGAGAGAGAGACAGAGAGGAATCACCCCCTTGGGGGGATGGCCATGCTGT